GGCCTTGTCTCTTCAAGGCGTAGACGACCTGTCTCTTATACACATCTATCCTTTTTCAGTTGTATGAATAAAGAGTCTCTCTAGCGGGATTCGAACAAACATCCTGTCGCTATCAAGGCGAATATCATATCACGCGAGGTTCTAAACCCCAGGCACTTTCTCTCATACAATTCTGTCTGAAACGCTCATGACAATGGAGCTAAGGTTAAGCTAGAAATGTACAATGTATATTATGATAATGCATGCATGTACTGTATGTAAGTACTTATGTGATGAAGGCCTCTTCCCTAAAAAAAAAGTTTGTCAACTTCATGAATAAAATCTAAAATTGTATAGCTTGTTTCCGAATTTTCTTTCAATGATATATCTTACTTTGCTGTACATCTACTTCTAATTTGTTTTACCATTTCAATACATTAGAACCCAATTGAGGAAACGTTCGGGACCAAAAAGGTCCCCCTTAAAGGATGTCCCCTGAATAAACATAAAATGTGAGATCTACCCTTTAATTAAATTATGGTTTTTGGTATATTTTCGTACAATGATGACATAGATTCTTTATATATTTTAATTGACCTATTAGAAAGAATGAGTTTAAATAGTTGAATTATAACAAACTTATAGCAATAATGTTATAATTTGCAACGCAAAAAAAATAATTTGTGAAATTAACCGATATGTAATTAAAACAAAAATTGCATATATGCGCCCGATTTTTTCTTGATTCGAGTGGAATGTGAATGACCAACATTTTCTTTAAATATTGAGCTTTCTATTGCCCGTTGTTAATCGTCAACATTGACAAGATTGTATTTTTACGAACATGGAGGAGTTAGTTTATTCACTAATTCCCCCATGGTACGAAGTAACACATGCACAGGCATGTACCAATTGAATGCCCATTCTAAAGTTTGGTGGGTGGGGGGAGGAATCTGGTTTACAGTATTAGGAATAACACCTTCGAGATCGGTACACACAATAGCGGTGCATCCAAATTAACAGTTTTTACAACAAAATAAGCAAATTCAATCTAAGCATATATTAAAGTCAGGCTCCGGAGGAAAAAAAAATTTTTTGATATGTTGTAGAACTGATTTTTCTAAGACAGAAAAAAAGTTGTTTGACGAAAAACTGGGGAACGGTGAATGAGATACAGATTTTTTAATATTTAAAAACTGGGGGAAAAGGGGCGTAACTGCCCATTTTTACACCTTATTACCCCAGTTCTTAAATATTAAAAAATCTGTAGTTTTTCGTCAAACAACTTTTTCCTGTCTTGGGAAAAATCAGTTCTACAACATATCAAAAATTTTTTTTCCTCCAGAGCCTGACTTTAACACAATTTCGAAAGAAAATGTCTAACATAATGCTACAAAAATTGGCCTACAGGGAAAACTAAAGTAACACAATTAAGAAAATTTAATTAAACCGACCAATAAAAAAAAAATCATAAAGCCTGCAAATCAAACAAAGCAACAAACATAAATTTTCTTGTAAGGGAATAGTGAATGAAAACGACCAAATATCAAAAGAACCATGTCTCATACAAAAGGGTTGTGAAGAGATTTCTTAAAAATTACAATGTATACACCGTTATTTTTGTAATATAATCATATTGGATGTGACTGAAAAACGCATTAAATACAAAAAAAAACTGAAATACAACTAGGCAAGCAATCTTTCTCTTTTGTTCAAATGGTGGCTCTGAAAAGAGCCGTTTGGTTTGAGGGAAGATGAGCAGCTTATCCACCGAATCCGTACAGGGTTCGGCCTTGTCTCTTCAAGGCGTAGACGACATCCATGGCAGTGACGGTCTTTCTCTTGGCATGCTCGGTGTATGTGACAGCATCACGGATGACATTCTCTAGAAATACTTTCAATACACCACGGGTCTCTTCGTAAATGAGACCAGAGATTCGCTTCACACCACCACGACGAGCTAGACGACGGATAGCTGGTTTGGTGATACCCTGGATGTTATCACGCAACACCTTACGATGACGCTTAGCGCCTCCTTTTCCAAGTCCTTTTCCTCCTTTACCACGTCCAGACATGTTGATCACTGTTGTGTTCGAAGTTCGATTCGAAGTGTACCCAATATTGCGTTCGCTAAATGTATATAGTCGCTATACGGACGTAATATGAATGACTGAGTATCTTTGCATTCACTGACCTTGGACTAAAGCGTTAGTTAAGTGGGAGCTTTTAAAATTAGGCTCTCATAAACCAAAGTACAAAAAACCCAACAAATCTTTATGTGCAGTAAGTGTTACTACAGTATTTAATTTACCATGCAGTAATATACTGCTGTACAATAATAATTTTCTATTTTTTTAAATTGCCAAATAAATAATAACATTGAGTCTGGGCAACATTTTACTGGTTCTTATAAAAATAAAATGTGTATCAGTTTTTATTACGTGTTACCATCTTAAATTCTGATTTGGATATTAGACATGACACAAGAATGAGACATGCAGTAAAATATATTTCTATTTCACAGAGCTCCCATAAAATAATACGTACTTTAGAATCATTTTGCATAACTAATAACACTTATTACCCTACCTATATAATAATTTGTCATTTATAAAACTTGAATAAGTTTGAAAATATAAAGGGGTAAAGGTAGAATAACCCATAACTTGCAGCATCATTGTGCTGAATTGCGTATGGGCGAGGTCCGTGACTACCTAGCAGCCGTAAAGAGGCGCTTCTTGGTAGATACATGTTCACATCATTCCACAACGACAGGGGCTGAAATGAACCATAACATCGGGGTAACCCCCTACTCTTCCGAAAGATGCAATGGGTTCTTTAAAGTGCACACGAGCTAGATGTATACACTGGACCTCCATTTTAAGTCCTTATCCGAGAAGACTTGGTTCTACCAACCGAAGCTGGAACTAGCGCCGATGTTAAGGCTGTAGCTAGCGGCGCCCCGTCTTACTGCTCGGCGACTCGCCAAGCCAACTGAATAATTCAGTACAGTAGAACCCCTCATTTACGAACCCCGATTTTACGAATTCCCGATTTTACGAACGTAATATAAAGGTGATGACGTCATAAAAATTGAAGCGAAAGATTAAAAAAAAAAAAACCCGCTCGAATTGTACCTGTTATTACCATGCATACAACACAACACACCATACTATACAGTACTATGTAATTCTCAAGTGAAGGACGCCCTCTAACGGGCCTATTCAAAGTCTGTTTTTATGGCTTCACACATGTGCATGCGACAAATTTTACTTCTCTTTCAAACATCGTTTTCAGCTTTAAAATTCAACATAGTGCTTGATTGTTTTATTGAATGATCAAGATATATAATAAACAAGTATCTATGGAAGTTGTGTTGGAATAAAATCCACGATCTAGGTATTTAAGAAGGTTAAAATGTCCGATAAAAACAAATTTGTGCAGGGCCTAGAGTGGGATCAGAATGCTTAGAAGCTGCCAACTGTAGGCCTAGGCCTCCTCAGACTTAGCTGCGTAAGCCTGTAGGCCAAGCCTAGCTTATGCCAGTGTAAGTAGTATCAGTGCAAATATATAGGAATTTGGGTCAACCCCGATTTTACGAATACCCGAATTTACGAACGGCTCTGGGCCCGTGCTGTACGTAAATGAGGGGTTCTACTGTATATCAAATTTTCAGTAAAGAATTACGGTATAGGAAGTACATGAAAGAATGTGTGTAAACCATTATGTGAATAATGAATACCGTATACATATGATATATGATGTGAATAATATGGTTGATTGAAAAAAAAAAAACGACCTATGGCCTTGTAAGAGAAAAATAAATCATGTTTGTAATCATATACTAAAATGTTTGTTATATTTTTTTACAGCCCAGACCCCTATAAAGCATATAAAAAATACACGAGAAACTAGGGACACATAATGTGTATAGGTTCTTCATACATTATTAAACCTGTCTAAAATAACTGTGCATTTGAATAAGCTTATGAAAACTTTTGAAAGATAATCCATGCAAATGTTCAATTTAAATATTGTATTTCCTGTGGTGAATATATAGAATATATATTTATATATGATATATATAGCTTGACAAAGGTTGATAACCGAAAACGTTTGCTAACTTGAATAAAATTATATATCTGGCAACTTATTACCATCTCTCCGGAGTTTTATATATATTATATGTGTGTGTGTGTGTGTGTGTGTGTGTGTAAACTCTGCAGGCCCGTAGCCAGGTTCTTCCAAGGGGGAGTTTTCTGGGCGTGAGGTCCACAGTCGAAGGCCCGGTGGGGTCGGCGAAACCCCAAAGCAAGAGGATTAAAACAACTCCCTGGTACAAGTATTCAAAATTGGGTATCACGAAATGCGTGTAGTAATAAAATCTTTTAACAAAAGTAAACTATGTTAAATCGTTTAATTAAAGGAACATGTCGGATAATATGAACACAAACGGTAGAATAAAAAAATGACAAAAAAAAAAGACGATAGACTTTCAAATCTCATTTGTACATATCATGGCTCTGAAAAGAGCCGTTTGGTTTGAGAAGATGGTTTATGAAATCTACTTGGACTTGGCCTGGGTCTTCTTTGGCAGAAGTACAGCTTGGATGTTTGGCAATACACCTCCTTGTGCGATGGTCACACTTCCGAGAAGACGGTTCAACTCTTCATCGTTACGGATGGCAAGCTGAAGATGACGGGGGATGATTCTGCTCTTCTTGTTGTCACGGGCAGCGTTGCCAGCCAACTCCAAGATTTCAGCAGTCAAGTACTCGAGTACGGCAGCCATATAGACTGGGGCACCAGCACCGACACGAGATGCATAGTTACCCTTTCGCAAGAATCGGTGGACACGACCGACTGGGAATTGAAGTCCAGCACGGCTTGATCGGCTCTTGGCCTTTCCCTTAGCTTTTCCTCCTTTACCACGTCCAGACATATTTACTTGCTGTATATAACTTCTTTGTTGACGAACAAGATGATAATGATCAGTTAATCAACCAAACTATCCGCTTTATAAAGGCATTGCTAGGCTCAAAGTGTGGCGGAATTGATAGGCTTTATTATTCCGACCAATCACAAACGAGTACTATTCTTAATACAAAACTAAATGCGGGTACTAAGCAAGTGCTGCATCTTCGGTCCGCTTTCAATCATAACAAATATACAGTATATTTTCTGCATTTGACAGACCCTATATACAATTTTTGTATTCCCATATAAATGAAGTTAATTGACAATTATTCTATAATTTCAAAATATTTTCATAAAAATTGATAAATAAAAAAAAGTAGGAGGGGGAATTTCTGCTTTTTTGAGGGAGGGGGACACCATATATGTTTTCAGGTTTTTCAGACACACGATTATATTTCTCGTAATGTTGTGATAGTCCAATATGTATTATCGTTAAAATGAAGGAGGAAAGATAGACTTCGTTTTAATTATAGACACCATGTACTCAAAGTTATTCTTTTCTGCAAAACGTCATGGTTAGCAAGAAGATCCTAAACATTGCCAACCTATAATTATTATATAGTAACTACGTAGCTAGCTTTAATATCTTTAGTTTGCATAGTGTCTCTGGTTTGGTATACAAAATTCTAACTTTTCCCATTATAAAAGTTTTGTACTCGGTACAGGAGGTGCAGGTTGTGTAGTTTTTTAAAAATTATGTATGGAAGGGGAAAGTTCTCCCGCATCCGCCAGTATATATTATTAGTATAATACCGAAACTTTTGCTTAAGGAAAATCTTGTAAATGCGTCAGCACCAAAATTCCCAAATAATATAGATTTATTTGGTACTTAAGTGATAACGACTAATTGCAATACTATTTATTAATCATTGCCTTTATCCCAATTTTGCAAGGTTTGGTGGCATATGAACAATCATCCTCATATTTTACATAGCACATTGTAAAAATGCATTGTTTAATATCGATGCATAATCGTTGCAATACGTGTTCAATGAACATGGGGAAGACAATACCAACAAATCTATTTGTGCTTTACTGTGGCTATGAGTCTGAAAAGTGTCGTTTGGCTTCAACTCGTAATTAATTAAGATGTCCCCGTCCCCTTAATAGCGGTTGGCCGTAGTGTTAAGAGATATTTCCCCGTGTTCCATGGAAACAAGGGAGGGGTCCTACCCTAGATGTGGGTGTGTATAGACCAGCATATATGCACATGATGTATTTGTTTCTTATCTTTACCTTTCACTTGTTTTGTTTAAATTGCTAATGATTTATATGGTGTAATGTTCATACACTGATAATATATGGCACTAACCTTCAATAAGTTAGACCTATTTGATTGTTATGTTTTACATATTAAATGGAATAAAATAGAAACTGTACTGTAGACAAAATTTCTCTTCTCTTTTGGACAAGTTGTGGCTCTGAAAAGAGCCGTTTGTTTTGAGATAACTGATTACACAGCTTATGCACGTTCACCACGGATACGGCGGGCAAGTTGGATGTCCTTTGGCATAATGGTTACACGTTTGGCGTGGATGGCACACAAGTTGGTATCTTCGAAAAGACCGACCAAGTAAGCTTCGCTAGCCTCTTGAAGAGCCATGACGGCAGAACTCTGGAAACGGAGATCGGTTTTGAAATCTTGGGCGATTTCTCGGACAAGACGTTGGAATGGGAGCTTGCGAATGAGAAGTTCGGTGCTCTTCTGGTAACGACGGATCTCACGGAGAGCAACGGTTCCAGGCCTGTAACGATGAGGCTTCTTGACACCACCGGTGGCTGGTGCACTTTTTCGTGCTGCCTTGGTGGCAAGTTGTTTTCGGGGAGCTTTTCCTCCGGTAGATTTACGGGCAGTTTGCTTAGTACGAGCCATTTCTATTTGCAATCTTAAATCGATGTCAAATTTCGAAAATGTCATGTGCTTATATAGTATGGCGTTTTTAGAACAACCAACATGATTGGTTAAGCGAATGCTTAAGAACACGTCCGTAAAAAATGGCGCGTTACTTTCAAAAAGGTTTTTGTTTCAGAACAATACTGTTTGTCACTTCAATGTTTGGAGTGACCTTTATTTGTTCTTTGTTGGTTTTAAAAATACAGCATCGCATTGTAAGTACAACTCACGTTATAGTAATGGGCCTACTCATATTACACTTTTTTAAAAAAACACATTTTATAAGAACACTGAGGCTGAAATTGCTTAAAAAATATGAACAAATTGAGGCTGAGGAGAAATGTATCTTATGTGCAGTAGGTGTGACTATGTAATACCATGGACCTATCAGTACAGTAACATAGTGCTGTACAATGATAATTTTATATGTTTGAAAAAATGTGTGTAAAAATAAGAACATTTTCAGCCTGAAATCGGCCAAAAAATAAGAACACTGAGCCTGGGCAAAATTTTACTGGTTCTTATTAAAAAAAAAGTGTATATGATAATTATGAATATCACAATCTTTGAATTATTTGGAAAAAATGAAACACATAATCACTACAGTGGTTATGTGTGTCCACTTTTTGCTAGTTTTTTCATGTACCTTGATAAAGACCTGAGGATAGGTAGAAATATTGGTTTTCTCCAATAAAGTGTTTCTGAAGATATATATTAAAAGCACCAGCTCAACTGTCTCCTCAATCAATTTTCATTTACGATGTGTGGCAGTGATAAGGGGGATATTTTTTTTTTGTTCTTTATACCGGGTGGACTCTTCAGTCAAAAAGACTGTTCTCCCAGAGTGCTCAGTATACACACAGATAAGATGGAGAAAATAAAAAAAAGTCTTAACAATAGAAAGTAAAAAAGACACCAAAAAAGTAAAAATATATATTTTGCCTTTTACAATTTTTTTTTTAGGAAAAGGTAAAATTCTGCCCATACTCAGCGTTCCAATTTTTTGCCGATTTCAGGATCATAGTCACAGCTACTGCAAATTAGGTACAGAAGGTGTTAGGTGTTTTGGTTGTATATAATTTAAAAAAAAGTAAATTTGTTCTGATTTTGTACTTAATTTTAAGCGATTTCAATGCCCTTACAAAATGTGTTCTTATTTAAGTATGTATTGTATGGACAAATAAAAATGAACATTAGGCAAGTAATCATTCTCTTTTGTTCAAATGGTGGCTCTGAAAAGAGCCTTTGGGTTTGATAGATGAGGAAGGACTAGTGTTGTCCGAAAGCTCTGGTTCTATTTCTGGCTGCTTACTTACGTTTACTTTTTAGCTGTTGCTTATCATTTTTGTATCTCTACTGAGATCCAGCCATTGTTTACCACAGCATTGTTGTTCTCCAGTATTTTGCCTTTTAATCTATATATTATACAAAAATTGAAATACTATTAGGCTAGCACTTATTCTTTTTTGTTCAAATGGTGGCTCTGAAAAGAGCCGTTTGGTTTGATAGATGAACAGCTTATCCACCGAATCCGTACAGGGTTCGGCCTTGCCTTTTTAAGGCGTAGACGACATCCATGGCTGTGACGGTCTTCCTCTTGGCCTGCTCGGTGTATAACATTTTCAAGGAATACCTTCAATACACCACGGGTCTCTTCGTAGATGAGACCAGAAATACGCTTTACACCACCACGGCGAGCAAGACGACGGATAGCTGGTTTGGTGATACCCTGGATGTTATCACGCAACACCTTACGATGACGCTTAGCGCCTCCTTTTCCAAGTCCTTTCCCTCCTTTACCACGCCCAGACATGTCGATTACTGTTACTATTCGAACAAGTTCAAATGGAAATGTAATGCGAACTTGAATTCGCAAAATCTATATAGTCTGTATACGGACGTAATATGAATTACAGGGTATCGCTGCACTGACCTTGGGCCAATGCCTTGAATATGGGGGGTGGGGGTTTAAAGCAGCGTAGATTGCGCCAAATGCTGGACAAAGGTCTAATTATTTGCTTTTGTTTTGGACCTTTTTAGTGTCCTTTGATATTTTAAAGCTACAGTTTCATGTTTTAATTACATTCCTTTTTCTTTTTGGCGCGAGTTTTCCACTACGTATAGTCTGTTGCTTGATTTCTATTTGGCGGTTTATAAACCACAGCTAGCACTGTACAGTATCTGTTTATAATGTTGATTACTATTATAGTAATTATAATATACTTATGATAAGCATATTATTATTAATTTAATGTTTTATAAATTGTTTTACAAAGAAAAATGGTGTGCTTTGATATTTTAAAACTAGTTCCATATTTTAATTAACTTTCCTTTTTGGCGCGAGTTTTCCACTGTGTATAGTCTGTTGATTGAATCATATTTGGCGGTTTATAAACCACAACTAGCTAGACTGTACAGTATCTGTTTATAATGTTGATTACTATTATAGTAATTGTAATATACTTATGATAAGCATAATATTATTAATTTACTGTTTTATAAATTGTTTTACAAAGGAAAATGGTGTCATTTGATATTTTTAAACTAGTTCCATGTTTTAATTAACTTCATTTTCCTTTTTGGCGCGAATTTTCCGCTGCGTATAGTCTGTTGATTGATCCATATTTTACGGTTTATAAACTATCACTAGATAGCACGGTACCTGTTCATGAAATTAGAAATATTTATTAAAATGTTGATTACTATAAATATATTTATAATATTAATTTATTGTTTTAAACGCATATGAATACACTTCTCATCACCGCAATAAGTTTCAATAAGTTGCACAAGCATTTAAAAAAATTTAAAAGATTTAAAAATCTTATTATTATTATTATTAAAACACAAATAACTTTTAATTTCGACTATTAAAATAAAAGCTCTAGATCCAACATTGTTCATCAGACCCAAAATGTACACTACAATTAGCAGATAATTTTAGGCTATTTTAACTTAACATTATTTTAATGATTTCCATTATGCCTTAAATAATATTTTAATGTATGTATGTATGCATGTAATAATGACTCATTAAATTAATTTAACATAAAAAGCTATTGATCTCTTTCGTGTAAGTGGTGGCTCTGAAAAGAGCCGTTTGGTTTGAAAAATACACCGTCTACTTCTTAGATTTCTTTGGAGACTTGGTAGACTTCTTGGCTTTTGGCTTCTTTGCCTTGGCCTTTTTAGGAGACTTTGTCTTCTTTGGCTTGGCTGCTTTCTTTTCCGGTTTTTTTGCCTTCTTTGGTGACTTGGAAGCCTTCTTCGTTGGCTTCTTAGCCTTCTTGGTCGCTTTCTTTGCTGCTTTCTTTTCTTTATCTGCTGCTGCCTTCTTCTTAGCCTTTTCTTTCTTAACCTTTGCAGCTGCGTCTGCCTTTGCTGCAGCCTGGTTCAATTTGAACGATCCGCTAGCTCCTGTGCCTTTAGGCTGGGCTAGTTTTCCGCTTTCGACACCGCGTTTCAACGCCATCTTAAGATGGGTGTTCATGTTACCAGCATCAACCTTGTAGTTGGCTTGAATGTACTTAGCGATTGCCTGACGAGAAGAACCATTTCTTTCTTTCAAAGCACCAATGGCAGCAGTAATCATCTCAATGTAAGTTGGATGAGATGCTGGCTTTTTAGGAGCAGCCTTTTTCTTAGCTTTGGCTTGTTCAGTCATTTTGCAACGAGTTGTTTAGCACCGACTAAAACGAGTTAGAACTGTAAGAATGTTGAAGGTGAACAAATCAGTTACAATTTATACATTCAAAGCGGACCTGGTATGCAGCACTTCCGACAGGATTGTCATGAGTGCATGACATTTGCATTGGCGCGCATTATCAAGCTTGCATATCAGATGTATATTTACAAATAAAAAATTACTTATATAATGCCATTGAAAAAAAGGATGGACAGTAATTGCGTATTTGTGTAGACATAATCACAGAACATACCAATGAAGTATTCTGTATGTATGTTTGTACAAGTATAAGGTGATGAAAATAATAATATTAATAATAAAATAATAATATTGATAACAGTAATAAAAGTCCTAAAAAATCAACTACAATAATGAAAATACTGTAAGCATTATTACATTAAACATTTATAAAAACATCATTATGAAAGAAGAAATTCAGACTCAACTTATTTGTCCTCACGGAAATAACATTGGTCAAAAGGGGACGTTTATTCGAGGGAGGCGTTCATTCCAAATGACTCTGTAAGGGGGTGTTTATTAGAATAAATACAGTAAAATTGAATATAGTGGAGCTAAGGTTACTGTAAGTTTTTAAAAATAACACCCTTAATCATAGCCAGAAGTTTTCTTATTTAGCTTAATATTTATATATAAGGAAGAAATATACATAGGCCTATCCTATTTTTAGAGATTTCAATCAGTGGCGAGCGTAATAAAAATAAAGTTTTTTTTTTTTCTTACAATTCAATTTTTCGTGGCGGCAGGTAGGGTAATTAGCCAAAAATTTAAAAAAAAATCCTTTTATTCGAAATCATCATTGGCGGGCGGCAGGTTTGGTAAACAGACACTTGAGCATGTTCACAAAATCAAGATTGCTTACAATTTTACTTAGAGGCCTATCATTGAAAATTGACTAAATGTACGTGCTTGATAAATTCTTATACAGTACTTCAACACAAAGAAAAACACAAGTGGAAACGACAGGCACTGAAATTCACAAATCTTTTTGAACTTTTGGGTGGCTCTGAAAAGAGCCGTTTGGTTTGAGAGTGTAAAGTTTACTTGGAGCTGGTGTATTTGGTAACAGCCTTGGTGCCTTCAGACACGGCATGTTTGGCCAATTCACCGGGCAGCAAAAGACGGACAGCGGTCTGGACTTCCCTGCTGGTGATGGTGGATTTCTTATTGTAGTGAGCTAGACGAGATGCTTCACCGGCAATACGTTCGAAGATATCGTTGACGAAGCTGTTCATGATTCCCATAGCTCTGCTGGAGATACCAGTGTCTGGGTGAACTTGCTTCAACACCTTGTAGATGTAGATGCTGTAGCTTTCCTTTCGTTTACGTCTTCTTTTCTTGTCGCCAGTTCTAACGGCTTTAGCCTTACCGGCCTTTTTGGCAGCTTTTCCTGAAGTTTTTGGAGGCATGTTAACGATTTAGTCTACGAATAAATAAGTGACAAACCTGAAGTTAAGCACGGTATTTATAGAGCTAGACATGCAAAGTAGGACTTACTGTTCCGCTGTATTTAATATCTCAAGGCTCCTATTGGTTCTTGAAAACGCGCGATTTATTGAATAGGTCATAATCCTGCTCGTATTACATGCAATGCCTAATTGTTTTGCTCCACAATAGCACGCGCCAAAAATGAATCAGTAAAATACCAATATCTCGGCTTCCTCTAGGTTGTTGAAAGCGCGCGATTTATAGGTGATAATCGCGTTCTGACACAAACATGATGTTTGACGAAAAACTCGGAAACAGTTAATGAGATACAATTTTTTTAATATTTAAAAACTGGTGGAAAAGGTGGTTACGCCTATAATTGACCAACCGACACCAATACAAAAAAGAGTACATGTAGTGCCATTGCCAAAACGAGAATTCAATTGTAATGTTGGGTCTTCAAGTTAGGTAAGATACGTCTTAGTACTTATCAAACTATAAAACATACTTCAAATAGTGACAGACACGCTATTATGATTCGATAACTCTAGATCACCACCAGGAATGATGGTCTAGTATTTAGCGCATAAGAACAATATTATTAATACAAATTTTATTAAATTCCGGTATTTAACTTGTGGAGAGTATGAAAACTATTTAGAAAAAAAAACTATCCATTCACTTTCTTTTAATTTGCCATGTTTCAAAGAAAACTATTATTATTATTAGAAATATTTAAACAGCAACTCTCTCTTAAAGATTACATAATTATCATAAACAAATTACTTTTTATCAATGGCAATTTTACTTCATCATAATCATAATGATATTAAAGTTTTGACTGACAAATTGTGCAGATCATTTGTCAATTAAAAAAAAGAGATTATTATTTATTTATTAATTATATGTTAATTGTTAATGATACAATATAGAAGTGTGTTCATTAAACGAGTACTTGATATACAGTATTATGTATGCATGTCTAAAACGGAGACAATGAGAAACTGTACTGACAGTTGACAAAATGCTTTTCTCTTTTGAACATGTTGTGGCTCTGAAAAGAGCCTTTTGGTTTGAAATAACTGATGACAGTTTATGCACGTTCACCACGAATACGGCGGGCCAGTTGGATGTCCTTTGGCATAATGGTTACACGTTTGGCGTGGATAGCGCACAAGTTGGTATCTTCGAAAAGGCCGACCAAGTAAGCTTCGCTAGCCTCTTGAAGAGCCATGACGGCAGAACTCTGGAATCGAAGATCGGTTTTGAAATCTTGGGCGATTTCACGGACCAGCCGTTGGAATGGGAGCTTGCGGATGAGAAGCTCAGTACTCTTCTGGTATCGACGGATCTCTCGGAGAGCGACGGTTCCAGGCCTGTAACGATGAGGCTTCTTGACACCACCGGTGGCTGGAGCGCTTTTTCGTGCTGCCTTGGTGGCAAGTTGTTTTCGGGGAGCTTTTCCTCCGGTAGATTTACGGGCAGTTTGCTTAGTACGAGCCATTTCTATTTTCAATTTTTAAATCGATGTCTAATTTCGGAAATGTAATGCACTTATATAGTATGGCGTTCTTAGAACAACCAACATGATTGGTCAATTGGGTGCCTAAGAACACGTCCGTAAAGTATGGCGCGTTCGTTTCAAATAGGCTCTTTGTTTCAGAACAATATTGTTTGTCGAATAATGGCATTGTCAATTTTTGGAGTGCCCTTTATTGTAATCCCTGTTTGCTGTTTAAAATTTGATGATCTACTTGTTTTAAAAATACTAGGTATATCGCAAGTATTTTAAGCAATTAAGTATATTATTTGGGTATCACGAAATTATTGTATCTTTTTTAAAATATCACGACCTCGCTGAAGCGAATGAGTTTAAATGTATATTTTTTGAATAAAGTTTTTGATTGATTGAATTTGTAGTGGTTTAATAAAATGAACTGAGTTAATAAAAGAACATAAAGACACAAACGGAAGCCTATTTTTGTAGTATGCTTAAAATACAGTATTTCACACATTAAGATTATTTTACTGTACAGAGATTGTGCGTTTCAGAATGTTTCCCCCAATTAACATTGTTATTCTAAACGCACAATCTCTAAAAACAAACGCAACTAATTGATGATGTTAAAAATTATGTGCAATTTTGAATTTGTCTTACAAATGAAAAGGAACATATTTGCATGTTGGAATAGGACACAACAGTAGCCTATTTAATTCATACTATTGAATTACAATACATATACTGTATATTGGTTGATTGGATAAAAAAAACGATCTTCCACTATTTTTTTAAGCTCTGTCCGCCCTATCACACTTTATGTAACAAAATGTGTGTGATGTGACCTTATTTGTTCTTGGTGATGTCATATTACACCCAAATATGGGCATATCACATAAAATTTGATAATGTGTATTTCAGTATTTAATTCAGGCTCCGGAGGAAACATTTTTTAAATGTTATACAACAATGACAAAAAAAAGCATATTTGACGAAACACTCTGGAACGATTAATGAGACTGATTTTGTAAGTTAAAAACTGAGGGGAAAGGTGTGGTTACCTCCCCTTTTCCTACAATAAAATACAAAGCTAACAAACATTGATTGGCGAGAAAAAAAAACAATATTAAACATTTGTCTAAAGTATTACATAAGGGTCAAAATAGACAAACAATAATAAACTACCAATTGTCATATATTATTTAATTATTAAGAAAGTCAAGCTTAATTTATGATAATGTGGATAGTACGATAGTATTTTAAGTACAGTTCAATTACAATTCCTGTTACAGAAGTACTCATAATATTTGGGTATCTCGAAATTATTTGTATCATTAGTTTTGAACTGAATTTAATAAAGGCAAGATAAGACAGAACGGAATGTAGCCTATTTTTGCAGTATACAAAAAATACTTCACAAGTACAGTACAATTATACGGTCATGATGTATTGTAGGTAATTTTTATTCAAATATAGTTATCTCGAAAGCATGCGTATTTTTTTTAAAATTGCAATTCTTTACTGTTTAGGCATGTGGGTACGAAATGTTAGTCTCCTATGGCATATCGAATGGTTAACGCGGAAAAGGAACAAACATACTTGCATGTTGTAACATGCCACAACAGTAGCCTAATTTTATAGTACTGGACACTTTTTAAAAAAGTACACATTAAAGTACTGTATAGTTTTTTTATTTTTACTTTATAGAGAGGTACCCGGTACTGTATTAAAAATTGGATATCACGAAATTATGCGGATTATTGAATTAGCTTGATTAGATGAAAAACAATTTACTCCTATATTCACGTGAATATTTCACATTTACATTGGACCGACCATTGAGGTGTACCTCCATGCACCGACTTGTATTTTAACAAACTACTAGTACAGTAAAAATCATGTTATGCAGGTACAGTTTTCTCAAATTTGGGCACCATTACAATTGACAATTGAATTGTAACCGTTTATACAGGTACAGTACTATTCATAT